TGCATTCCTCAATGGTGAGCTAGAAGCTGGTACTACCATCTATATGAAGCAGCCACAAGGGTTTGAAATCCCTGGCAAAGAAGATCATGTTTGCAAACTTAACAAAGCCTTTTATGGCTTGAAACAGGCTTCAAAAGCCTGGTTTGAAAAACTTAAAGGCATCCTCTTACATCTTGGCTTTCATGGTTCAAAAACTGACTCTTCATTATTCTTTAGACATCAACATGGCAATGTTATATATATTTTGGTCTATGTTGATGATATAGTTCTCACTGGTAGCTGTTCTAATGCTGTAAACTCCCTCATTCTTCAACTTCAGAGCTTCTTTTCCTTAAAGGACCTTGGAGACATGTCTTATTTCCTAGGCATTGAGGCTCATTATACATCATCAGGCATCCTCTTGACTCAAACCAAATATCTTTTAGATCTCTTACAGAAATTGCAAATGACTGAAGCCAAATCTGTTTCCAGCCCTATGCTCTCATTTCCACCTCTGTCTAAGCATGATGGCACACCATTTTCAGATCCTAAGCTTTATAGACAGATAATTGGCTCACTCCAGTACCTAACCATCACTCGGCCTGATGTCTCATTCTCGGTTAATAAGTTAAGTCAGTATATGCAACATCCTATGGAGTCTCATTGGAAAGCCATAAAAAGGGTGTTAAGATATTTGTGTGGTACTCCAGATCATGGACTTCTTTTCTCACAGTCCCCACACTTATCAATCACAACATTTTCAAATTCGGACTGGGCATCTGATCCAGATGATAGGAAGTCTACTTCAGGGTATTGCATTTTTGTTGGTCATAATCTTATCTCCTGGAGCTCGAAGAAACAACAAACAGTCTCGAAATCCAGTGCCGAAGCTGAATACAGGAGCTTAGGTCATGCCATGGTTGAAGTAATGTGGTTACAATCCTTACTAAAAGAATTGCAACTCACTTCTTGTCTTCCACCAGTTATCTGGGTAGACAACTTAAGTGCAGTCTTTATGTCCACACACCCGGTTGTGCAAGCTCGTACAAAACATATTGAGGTTGATCTTCATTTTATACGAGACAAAGTTCAGTCCAAGAGCATTTTGGTGAATCACATTCCGGCCTACGATCAAATAGCAGATGCCCTTACTAAGCCTCTAACAGGACAATCCTTTACTCGGCTCAAGGATCTTCTTCATGTAGTTCCCTTGACCTCGCTCGGATTGCGGGGGGGTGATAGCCCATGTCAAGATAA